TTCTTCTTCTTCTTCTTCTTCTTCTTCTTCTTCTTCTTCTTCTTCTTTTTCTTGCTGTTGTTTGTTTATTGTCTGTTTTCCCTCTCAGATTGAGTTCTATAAGACAAACATTGTATCTTTATTTTTTTTTATTCATTATGTTTTGTAGTTCCAGACATAGAGCCGGCACTCAGTATATGAATAAATGTACCTTCCCAAAGTGAGGTGGTCAAATAAGTCTGTTTCTCAGTATACACAGAACAATTGGTTCCAAGATCTTTAAGGGCAAAATCCAAAGATGTTCGAGAATGGCACAGAGCAGTATTTGCATATTATTTATGCAAGTCCCTTTATATTTTTAGATCAACTATAGATTACTCCTAATATACAATGCAATATAAAGGCTATGAAAGCCATTGTTTCACTGCGTTCCTCAGAGAATCGTGATGTATTCATGTTCAACACTGATGAAGACTTTTAAACTTTTCTTGCGTATTTACCATCTACAGTTAGTTGAATATGTACCTGCAAAACTCATGGCTCAGAAGGTCAACTTTAGAAACAGAAGTTAGGTGGCTTTTCCTAAGTTACAGAGTTAATGAATGGGAGAACCCTGAACTCAAATCTCAAAAGTTTAATCTTCTATTTTACAACATTTACTGCTCCATTGAGTATTAGTGAGAAAAAATATTTTGTTGCTTGTTGGGTCAAGGCGATGGACAGATGTCTCATAATGAGAAACCACTTTGTCCTTAGCAGACCTTGACAAAGCTCAGGCTTGTGCAACCACTGCTACCTGTAGAAAATGATGGAGCCAAGAACCTGAACATCTTTTAGAATATGTCAGGTATTAACTTATTTGCTTGTTAGACTATGTCATATATTTTAGAAAGGGAAATGGGGAAGGAGATAGAGGGAAGGAAGAAGGGAGGGCGATACGGAGGGAGGGAGGGAGACAGCAGCACCCAAACTGAGACAGAATGCAGTCTGTAGGGGAGAATCCATACATCCACTCCTGATCTCCTCAGATGCTGACTGAACTTGTAACAGTGAGCCAAGATCACTGTTACAAGTTACCACTGTAGTCCCCTGGTCTCCACTGAGAGACCACACTATCGTCTATGAAAAACCTTCAGCTCCCCAGGGATCTTCCAGCACCGAGGAAACAAAGTTGTGCACAGGAACCAAGGAGCCGCACCCAACTCAAGGCTAGGGAAGTCTGTGGAGCTTCAGGGGAAATACAGGCCCTCCAGCCAGAGCCCTAAGACTATGTACTCCTCCAGCCAGGCCTCAGTTGGTGTGTCAGCCTTTGGCTCCTTTTACCACTTTCCCCTAATGCAAGGAATGCATCTCCTTTCCTGGAGCTCCCAGCTCAGTGTTGGCACCCACTCTCAGCCATGCACACATACAGATGACTGAGCCTGTCATCCTGCCCCATCCCAGCCATGCACATACACTGATGACTGAGCCTGTCATCCTGCCCCAACCCAGTCATGCCTGTGGACAGATGACTGAGCCTGTCATCCTGCCCCATCCCAGCCATGTACATACACTGATGACCAAACCTGTCATCCTGCCCCGTCCCAGCCATGCCTGTGGACAGATACTGAGCCTGTCATCCTGCCCCACCCCAGCCATGTACATACACAGATGACCAAGCCTGTCATCCTGACCCATCCCAGTCATGCTTGTGGACAGATACTGAGCCTGTCAACCTGCCCCACCCCAGCCAGGAAATGTGTGCCAGGAGCTAGGGTTTTTCCCAGAGAAGTGGTTCTGTTTGAGGTGACAGTTGGGAAAGTCTCAATCTACATCACTATAATTGGATTTAAGGCCACTCTATGAGGTGGAACCCATGCCTGACACTGTTGTCGGAGGTTTCTGTACTACTTGGTTCCTGCAATCATTAAGTCCCAAAGAAATCACACAGAGCAAGATGTGACTGCCTCACTGAAAAAGGTACTGAGCCATATATATTCTAGTATATGTGGTTAACATATACTAGAATAAAGGACTAATATAAGTTATAAGAGTTAATAAGAAGCCTGAGCTAATGGGTCTAATGTAGACCTCTGTGTGACTTCTTTGGGAACTTAACA